AGTTGAAAAGTGCTTCCTAAGTCATAAGGCTCATGGGGTCCCAGAGCCAAAATGCAGATACAGAACCTCCACGTGATGGCACTGACTTTGTGTGGGCTTTGGGTGAGGGGCAGTCCCATTGAGGTCAAAAGCTGCCCTCAGTTTAGTGGGTCTTCTTAAAATGACAACTGTCTCCCATTTTACTCAATGGGGCTGATGCCACAGGCTATCCTTAGCAAATATAGGATCTGCCTTCCACTGTTCCTAAAGTGCGTGAAACTCAGCTGGCCGTAGGAAAGATGCTGGCCCCTATGCTGTCATGAGTCAGAGGAGAATGCTAGGAGGAGATGAGGAATTGTGATGGTAGTTATCTTTGCTAAGGCAACTGCAACCTCAGTAGCAGTGACAACAATGTGAGATGGTGGCCATTTTGAAAGAGGGCAACTCTTCATAAGTTTATTTGAAGAACCATATTCTTCTGTGGAAAGATGAACTTGAGTTCTAAAGAATTTTTAAAAATCCATAATCTTATTTCCCACCCCCAAAATATCCTTTGTACCATATCTACACTTTGGATTAAATAATGAAAGAATCATTGGGCCCAAAAGAAAACTTCATAATGACTCGGTAGCCTGTGGTTAGCGCATGGCCCTGGGATGTGGGAGACACAGGATCCAGTTCTCCTGCTTTAGTGACTTTTTAATTTATTGTCCACAGTGGAACAGCTTCAGCAGGAGAGACCGAGGGAGTCCTTTATACCAGAATATGCCCTAGCTCAGTAGTTAGGGCACTTGAGTGATAGGTGGAAAGTCTCTGTTCAGATCCTCTCTTTCCGCTTCAGGCAAAGAGAGGGCTTGAACTAGGGGGTCTCCCACATCCCAGGTGACTATCCTAATCCCTAGGCTAAAAGTTGCAGGAGTACTCCCCCTCAGATTCTTGCTAAAACAGCATAGGTTTGCAGCTGAGATGCCCGAGAAGAAATAGGTGTCTCCCTGTAGCCTGCATTTAGATACCCATCTTTAAGAGAGGGATTAGACATAGCACAAACTTCTCAATTTGGCATCTCCTCTTGGCTAGCTTAGATGAGGAGCAGTCTAGGGTGTTGACTTTTACAAATCTCAATTAGAGCAAAACTTCCCTTTAATGAAGGCTCTAGCAGGAAGTAAGCTTGCAACAAATACTGGAGCCGAATACCCTGTTTAGCAGCAAAAGGAAACTTAGTGGTAGGAAAAATCAGGAAAAACTGCATGCATTTGAGAAATGCAGCTTTGAGAAATTCTTCTCCTGGTTTACCCTTGCAAGCCTAGATCATGGCTACATGTGTAGAGCCTAGAGCAAGACTTTAGGAGTGGAGGTAAAGGACCTAGCAGAACACAGAACCGCTCTGGTTGTGTTATGATAATCCTTTAAAGAAAAGCTCTAATTTTGTTATCCATTAGGTCTTTAAGGGAAGTGGTAATCACAGAAAACATGGTCCTATTGACCAGTAAAGGGAATTAGAACCTACCTTAGAGCCAAATTTATTCTTCCACTTTTCCTTAGGATTTTATACAGATTAACATAGGCCTGCGACTGCGTATTCATTCTTCTACTGAGCAACATGCAGTCACTGCCTCTTCCAAAAAAGTTAAACTGCAGGAAAGAATATCTTTCTTGCTTTGTGTATTCTTATGGGAAACCTTACCAGAGAAAAATAACAGAAATTTCCCTTCTTGAACTGCCAGAACCCTGTTCACTTTCAGGATAATGTTATCAATATATCCAGAATTGCAAGTTCTAAGTCCTTCTCACAAGCTACATGGCAGAAGAAGAAAAGATGTGTCTCTAACACAGGAGGAAACAGGACACTTCATGGTGTGTGTGTGTGTTAATTTGTTTTATTTTGTTTTAAGAGGCTGTCTTGGCCCTTTTGTAAGGGTTTTTTTTTTTAAAGAAATCCCTTCAAAGGTTAACCTTATGACTGTGACACAGGCTTGTCCTGTAAGTTCCCCAGTGTGGCAGGCAGAGCTGAGACAGCAGTCTCCCTCCAAGCATTTACCATAGAGCTGATAAGGAACAGTCCAGAGAGTGTACTGTGACTATGAAATCAGCCTCTCATACAAACATGAGCCCCCAGGGGGGGACTAGAACTCTTTGATCAGGCCAAACAGACACAGAAGTTAACAGCAGCTAGTGTGGCATAGCCAGATTCAGGATGATTGGAACCAAGGCCAGGGATGGACAGTGTTGAGGCCAAATAAGCAACATTTTATTCAGGATCATAAAGGTCTCAGGATTGATAAGCACCCCATGAAAGAAGGTACCAGGGTGGCTGGAGTCATCTGTGGCATGACCCGGGTGATATCCATATGTGAGAGGATAAGAGTAAAGTGTTAAATGGCCCTGCCACAGTACCCATGCAGGCTATGGTGTTCTTATCAATACATGGAGAGCTTCTGTTTAAACAAGTATATATTTATATATTACAAAGCACAGCAATGAGAAGTGGCTCTAAGCTTCAGACAGCCAAAGCCTGGTCTGATCCCAGCTATCCAGAACCCTGTTTTTCAAAATGGGGGATGACCTTTGGTTTCTGTAGGCATACCTTACTTCCTTACACAACAGCTACTGCACACGTAGAGTGGATCCCCTTTGGCCGTGGTCCGGCCATATGCCCCACAAGGCCCTATGGCTGGCACTAGTCTTGGTTGTAGCTCCACCCTTCCCTTGACACATCAATCTCTTCTCCACCAATGAGGTGAAGTCAAGAGTTCTCAACCCATCCCACTTAGGGGTACTGAAAGACTGACTCCCAGCCAGCCATGATCTCCCTCAAAGGGAACAGAATCTTACCATTTGGTTAAAGGCATTCTCTGTCCAGGCAGATGCTGGACTGTGCACTGATCCTATAGCCAAACGCATTACTAGGCTACTGGGGCGAGAGAGGGAGAAGAGAAGCAGCAGGTGGCCTGGCACACAAAAGCCCTAGAGTCACCAGGTGTAAATCCCTATCAGAGAGCAGACTGCATGCCATAGCTATAGAAATAGCAAACTGGTTCTGAGAGAGTGCCCCGACTTCTAAGTGAAGAGCCTGGAGTACATCAAATTTTTATCCCATGGTTGCTTCTGTGGTGAATTTGCATATAGTTACCTAGTCATTTCCTCAAACCAGAGGATTTGCTGTGAGAAAACAGGAGTTTTATGCCATTTTATGTTACTGTAAACCTAAACCTCACTGCTTTTCTTAACAGATAGTTCACACTAGGCTTTCTCTCTGTACAATTCTGTTGTGAAGACTGCTTTTTCTTCATCTTATTTGCATATCACCACCTACAGGTGAAATCCTAAAGTCCTGACTTCATGAAAACTCAAAGTCTTCAAGGGGAGATCTGTGCGTGTATGGACTGTAATATATGGCTCTTTAACTGATTAATATCATACAGTTTTTAAAAGTACCAGAAGGAAACAGAAGTGACCAGATAAGCTTTCTTTAATTTTAACACCTCTCTCTTACGCCAGCATCTGGTTTTGATTTGTGGATCCAACAGAATGCCTTTTTTTTTTTTTTTTTTAAAC